AAGCCAGGCTATGCAAGGATGGGGTGGGTGGGTGAGTGGAGCCGCTGTGAAGAGTGAGTAGAGTGAATGCAGTGGGGAAGTGAATGAAGAGACTGGGGAAAAGGATACAGAGAGAGGGTGTGAGCAGGGCAGGAAACAAAAGATGAATCTTAGGGACTGGCACCATCCTGTCAAACTAATGTCTGTTAGGAGTGCTAAAACTCAGAATGAACTGAGGCTAGGAAGGAAACCAGGGCAGCTGGTGGTTCAGTGAACAAAGTACTGGGCCTGGAGTCACAAAGACTTCTCTTCCTGAGGTCAAATCTGGCCTCAGACAATTACTAGCTGTGCGGTCCTGGGCAAGTCACTTAACCCTGTTTGGCTCAGTTTTCTCATCTGTAAAATGAACTGGAGAAGGGAATGGCAAAAGATACTCTAGTACCTTTGCTCAAAATCCCAAATGGGGTCATGAAAAGGCTGACGTGACTGACAAAATGACTCAACAATGAGAAGAAAACTGAAGGACAACAACAACAACATAAAAGGTTTTGATTTGTTCCGTAACAAAAACTAACGTAAACAGGAGGATTAAAAAAAAAAAAGGAAACAACCATGGCTTTGGGTGGATAGGACAAAGATAACGGATAACATAGAAAAAGCAGAGAGATTTTTGTTTTTCTTCTCTTTTCAAGGAGGAATGATGCACAGTGGAAATAGAACCAAAAGGTTTATCAGGGAGTTGATATCCAAGCTAAGTCAGGAGATAGTAAGAGAGAACCCAGTTGTCCTTGTATATTGAATTACTATTCAAGTCACCTAGCCCAGATGTGCTACATCTTCTTGTACTGAAAGACCCAGCAGATGTGATTATTGAATTACTATTAGTGATATTTGAAACATCATGGAGAATGGGAAAGATACATCAGGTCAGGGGAAGGGCACACAATTTCCCAATTTTCCAAAAAAGGAAGAGAACAGAATTGGGAAATTCTAGAATGGATCATTAAAGAGATGGTTTGTGAATGTCTAAATAAGGAAGCAGGATTACCAAGAGCCACTATTGTTTTTAATCAATAACTAGATATGCCAAACTAACCTCTTTCTTGACAAGGTTACTAAAATGGTAAATCAAGAAAATGCTATCAATATAGTTTGCCTAGATTTTAGCAAAGCATTTGATAAAGCATCTCATACTATTCATGTGTAAAGTATGGGAAGATATGGACTAAGCAATAAGATAAGTAGATGGGTTTGGACCTGGTTGAATGGTTAAGACTTAAAAAGTAGTCAGTGTTTTTCTTTTTTCTTTCTTTCTTTCTTTCTTTCTTTCTTTCTTTCTTTCTTTCTTTCTTTCTTTCTTTCTTTCTTTCTCTCTCTCTCTCTTTCTCTCTCTCTTTCTCTCTCTCTTCCTTTCTCTCTCCCTTCCTTCCTTCCTTCCTTCCTTCCTTCCTTCTTCCTTCCTTCCTTCCTTCCTTCCTTCCTTCCCTCCTTTCTTCTTTCTTTCTTTCTTTCTTTCTTTCTTTCTTTCTTTCTTTCTTTCTTTCTTTCTTCTTTCTTTCTTTCTTTCTTTCTTTTCTTTCTTTCTTTCTTTCCTTCTTTCCTTCTTTCTTTCCTTCTTTCTTTCTTTCTTTCTTTCTTTCTTTCTTTCTTTCTTTCTTTCTTTCTTTCTTTCTTTCTTTCTTTCTTTCTTTCTTCTTTTCTTTCTTTCTTCTTTCTTCTTTCTCTCTCTCTTTCTCTCTCTCTCTCTTTCTCTCTTTCTTTCTCTCTTCCTTTCTTCCTCCCTCCCTTCCTTCCTTCCTTCCTTCCTTCCTTCCTTCCTTCCTTCCTTCCTTCTCCTTCCTTCCTTCCTTCCTTCCTTCCTTCCTTCCTTCCTTCCTTCCTTCCTTCCTTCCTTCCTTCCTTCCTTTCTAGCAATGGGGTTAAGTGACTTGCCCAGGGTCACGCAGCTAGTACGTGTTATGTATCTGAGGCCAGATTTGAACTCAGGTCATCCGGAATCCAGGGCTGGTGCTCTATCCTCTATGCCACCTAGGTGCCCCGAGTTTGATGTTTTTTTGGCAGGTATGCAGTACAGTACCTCAGAAGTCTGTTTTTGTTCCTATGAAGCTAAACACTTTTTAATTGGACAAGAGCATAAATGGCATGATGACCAAATTTGCAGATGGACTAAGATGAGAAAGATGTCAGAATCAAGATGCAAAAAGAACCTGACAGACTAGTTCTGTCAAGGCTGAAACTATTAAGATGAAATCAAATAGGGATAAATAGAAAATCTTATATCAGGATTCAAAAAATCAACTTCACAACTACAGGACAGGGATGGAACAGTTGCTATCTAGCCCCATCTGGGGTGTTCAATGAACAATATGAATCAGGGGTGTGATGTTAGTCTCCCCAAAAGTCATGTGAACTTGAGCTGCATTAAGAGGCACATAGCTTCCAGGAACAAGGAAATGATCACCCCTCTGTACTCTGCTCTAGTCAGGCTACATCTAAAGTGCTCTGTACAGTTATGTACCCAAGGCTCAGAAGGATGCTGATAAGCTGGAGGGTGGCCATCAGGGTGATGAAGAGGCTTGAGTCACGTTATTTAGGCCCAGCTGATGGAACCAGGCCTGCTTAGCCTAGAGAAGACTCAAGGTAGAACGTGATAGTTGTCTTCAAGTATTTGAAGGATAGCATAAGGAGGAGGAATTAGTCTTGTTTTGTTTGGTGCCAGAGAGCAGGGGCAGGAGCAGTGCTCTGCAAGGTGCCAAGAGGCAAATTGATGTGACCTAAGGGAAAGTTTGTGATGACCATGAGGTCATCTGAGAGTGGAATGGACTCTCAGGAGGCGGTGGGTACTGAACCCACTGAAGAAGGGAGAGGAGTAATCTGGAGGTGGGTGTGGGTCTGTATACAACAGCCACCAGGATTTTGATTGGGTGGTAGACACGATTACAAGAACCTCAAAAGAGGAAAGATAACTGAGTGGTAGCGGTAGATAGAAATCCTGTAAGCGGCAATGGCGGGGGCAAGGGTATTCCAACTCCCCTGCCTTGATCAGTGAGCTGAGGGCAACTTGGTCATCAGAACTGCATGTGAGATCAGTTTCATTTTTTTTTTTAAATATTGTTGCTTTGTTGTTCTTTGGAACCACTCTCGTCTGGTTCTTTTCCTACCTATGTGACTGCTCCTTCTCTTTCTCCTTTGTTGGATCCTCATCCAAATCATGCCCTCTAACCATAGCTGTCCTGAAGGTTCTGTCCTGGGCCCTCTTCATCCTTCCCTTTAGACTACTTCACTTGGTGATCTCATCAGCTCCCAGATCACCATGATTTAATTATAATTTCTATGCTGATGATTCTTAAATCTGCTTATCCTGCCCCAACCTTTCTGCTGATCTTCAGTCTTACATCTACCAATTGCCTTTCAGATATCTCACACTGGATGTCCAGTAGATGTCTTAAACTCATTATGTCCAAAATGGAACTCATCTTTTCCCCTAATCCTTTCCTTCCCACCCTGACACCTCTCACCAATTTCCCTATTGCTGTCAAGGGCAACACCATTCTCCTAGTCCCTTAGGCTTCTAGGCTAGCTATCTTCCTCAACTCCTCACTACCTCTCACCCTCAGTATCCAATCTTTCACCAAGCCTATTGATTTCACCTTTGCAACATCTCTCAAATACTCCCCCTTCTCTCCTATGATACCACTACCACTCTAGTCTAGGCCCTCATCACTTCACGCCTGGACTACTGAAACAGCCTGCTAGTGGGTCTGTCTGCCACAAGTCTCTCTTACTCATCCTTCATTCAGCCACCAAAGTGATTTTCCTAAAGCAAGGGTCTGACCATATCATCCCACTACTCAATAAACTCTAGTGGCTTCCTATCATATGTACATCAAATATAAAATCCTCTCTTTGACATTCAAAGTCCTTCATAACCTAATCCCCTCCTACCTTTCCAGTCTTGTCAGACCTTAATCCTAGAGATATACTCTTTGATCCAGTGACACTGGCCTCCTGCCTGTTCCACGAACAAGGTACTCCATCTCTCAGCCCTGGGCATTTTCTCTGGCTCGCCTCCATGCCTGGAACACTCTCCCTGCTGGCTTCCCTGGCTTCCTTTAAGTCCCAACTCCCATCTAAGGTTCCCAAAGTGGGTGATACCACCCACTGGGGTGTGCTGGAAAGATCTGGGGGGGGGCAGAAGTTGCCTTGGGTGCAATTGGGGGACATTGAATTAAAAAAAAGGGGGTGGTGGAAGCATAAGGAAAGAAGAGAAGAGAAGAAAATTTTGGAAAAGTGTATGTATATGTTTCATCTGTTGTATAACAGAGTTAAAGTTGTAATGATTACATTATTTTCCAAATAAACACACAAAATGCAAGTTGTAACTAATCAATGGTCAAGTCCACTGACAGGGCTTAACAAGCAAGTGCTGGCCAGTGAGAGTATTGTGTATTGTTGGGGAAGTCCAGCGATGCATTGGCAGGAATATGTGCATGTAATGACTTGTTTATAATATGATACTATGTGGTTATATGACACCATAGCATCATCAAAATTTCAATGCAGGAAAAACCCCAATTATTAAATTTAAGATATGTCATTTAAAAATATATATATATTTTTAGAAATGGCACAAGATAAAAAAAATGTTAAAGGGTTAAAGAAAGTAGATTTCCAGGGGGCTGCTGAGTATTTTTTTTTTAAAGGGTGCAGTAGGCCAAATAAGTTTGACAACCTCTGGGGAAGCCTTTTGTAAGCTCTCTTAATTTGAGTGCCTTCTCTTTGTTAATTATTTGCCACTTTTCTTGTATATAACTTCTATTTGTATATATTTATTTGCTTGTTTTCTCCCTCATTAGATTATAAACTCCTTGAGGGTAGCTCTTTGAGGACTATCTTCTGCCTCTTTTTGTATCCCCAGAACATAACACAGTGCCTGGCACATAGTAGGAGCTTAATAAATGATTTAATAATAAATAAATGAATAAATATTGAGACAATTCCCTTTCCTTCCTTCTTTGCAGAAGTGGGGCACTATGGGCTTTAAACCCAGCCCTTTCCCCACTACCCCACCCTGCTAGTGGATGCCCAAGGTCGCTTCCAGCTCTGCCATCCTGGGATTCTGCACTCACAAAGATATCTCTGGCAACACCCCTGCCACCTTCACACCGCCTCCTCCACCTTCTCCTGGTGGGTGGATACACAGGGCTGGATTTGTCTTCTTCCTCTTTTTCTGCCTGGTAAGTCATCCAGCATGTAATCCTACACAGGCTCACACTTGACACTTCCATTATTCTCTGCTAATCACCTCTGCTGAACTTTTGGGTTTTATCGAGGAAGAAAAGGAAATAAAGGTGAAACTGGTGGTATGATCAAGGACAGCTCTCCCATAAAAGGGCACCTGGACAGAATGGTTTTCTCTCATAAGCTGTTTGACTCTCAGGACTCATTGTGCTATAGTGGAAAGTCTGTTGGCTTTGGAGACTGTGAATCTGGGTTCAAATCCCAGCACTGCCCCCTACTGGCTGTGTGACCTTGAATAGGTCTCTTTTTCTTTCTCTGGGCCTTAGTTTCCTCATTTGTAAAACAAGAACTACTTGTACCACTAAATCTTTAAGTTTCCTTGCAACTCTACACTTTACAATGTTGAATGAAGTGAATTCTCCCCTTTTGCTTAGAAGGAGTTTATTATGTGTTCTTCAAGGTAGGGAATGAAAGAGTTAATGTCTGTCTCCTCTGTTTTCTCTCTGTACCATAGTTTTCCCTAGGTCTGTAGTCAAAGGACAAAAGAACACAGGATGATAGATTTAGTACTAGAAGGACTTTGGCCTCATGAAGTCCAATTCCCATTTTACAGATAAGTAAATTGATGCTGAGAGACGTTGCCCAGCTCCACACAGCTAATAAGTGAGTTAGGACTTGGACGCTAAGTCCAATACTCTACATATACTGTGTGCCATCTAGATAAATTAATCTGCTATTATAAGGAACCAATCTGGATAAAACTTTTGAGAATAATTATTCATTAGACAATCATACTGACAATAATTTAGATAGTTTTATAGTTAGAAACTGCTTTCAAATGCATAGGATACATTGGAGCCAATAGTTAAGCATTAAGGTCTCTTCTTGCTTTAAATTGTATGATTCTAAGAGACAAGGTAGTATAGTGGGAGGTGAGCTCCTGGCTGAGAGCCAGAGGACATGAGTACCAGTCATGGGACTGCTACTAACAAGATATGGGAGCATGGGCAAATTACTTTATGTCTATAATGTATTTGATTCTTAAAATAATCCAGTTAGGTAGGCAGAGTAGGGAGTATTATTCCTGTTCTACAGATAAGGAAACTGAGGCCCAGAGAAATGAAGGGCTTGCCCAAGGCCATTAGGTAGCTAGTAGCAAAGATGGTATTTGAAATACCAGACCTCACAAGTCTTGGTTATTCTTCTTCCAGGACCCCCATATTGGTAAAGGCACTGATGCTAGCTGTTAAAATGCAGAAGATACCTGGGAAAGGTCATTGTAAACTTAGTCACTAACATCCAGGGTTTGATTAGTTTCTCAACTTTGCATTCTAGTCCCACAGAAGGCCCTTGAAGAGTGGTTCACAGGACCTGTTAAGTTTTGATAGGAGAATAAAGACCAGGAAGGGACTGGAACTCGGGGTTTTATATCCATCCCCTGGCTGGATAACATAACAATAATGGCTTGTGTTTATAAGATTCTGGAGCTTAGGGACAAGATCGTATAGTAGAAATGGGGCCTGAGTTCACTGTTTATTAACTGTGTAGCCTTAAGTCAGCTGTTTTCACCATTGTGACTTTCTATTTCCTCATTTATAAAATAAGGGGGTCTGGGAATATACGACCCTAAGTTTCAAGTTATAAGATATAGTTTCAAATCCTTTTGCCTTCTAAAGTTCTCGGAATCAGTAAAACATGGGTTCTAAGATCTGCCTCCAACTTCTTGTATGACGTTGAACATGTTAATTTGGCATTCAGATCCTCAGTTCCCCATCTACAAAATGAAGGAATTGGACTCTATCTCTAATATCCTATGTCCAAATCTACACCTTCCTCACCTAATACTAAACTCCAAAGCAGCTCTGGTCCTGTCTGTATGAATCTGACATAAGATTGAACCTATTTCCTCTTTTTAAGGAAAGACAGAGTAATTAGATATATTTGTGAATATTGGGAGTCTAGGCTGCATTTAAAGTCCTTTTCAAATGTAACATGATCTATCATAAAACAGGCTTCCAGCCCACATAGAAACACAATACATGGTTGAAAAGAAGCAAGAGATGCTATTTTTGCTTCCTAAGAGACTGCCTGTAATTACTGTGGTTCAGAGGAAAAGCAGATTATATTATTTCCTTCTTGTTCCTGTGGCGCTTCTAGCATCCATGGTAGCTGTTTTAGCTTTAAGATAATCAGAAATCCTTGGCAGGTAATGCTTGGAAGATGTAAGGCATAACCCAGGACCATTGGAGTAAAAATTTCTACCTCTTGGTATCATTAGACATGACGATTCAAAGAATATCTGACAGACAATGTGAACCTTTCTCATGAAAACACAAAAATAAAACTGGATTTGGGCCAAAATTTGTGACTCCTGTTTAAGAGCCTGACAGAACTGTCAGGAGAAAACTCCACCAAAAACCTTACCATTCCTTGTAGAAAAGACTGCTTCTATTTATAGCGTTATAAATTATTCATCAACTATTAATATTACTTTGGACCCATGATAATTGCTTGAACTGATCATGTTAGCCATGCTAATGTCACACTAAATTAGTATGTACATTAAATGCTTTATGAATCAATTATCCTATTTTGTCTGCATAATAACTAACCTCTCCTTAAAAAAAAAATTAGTGGTTCTCTAAGGTGAACAAACATATCACAGAATAGTGAAACTGGAGGAGACCTTAGAACAACATAATGTTAGGACATCATATCTTAGGACTGGAAGAACACAAGCAAAGAGAATTACTGTGATAATTACTTGTATTTATATAGCACTTTAAGGCAAGAAAGCACTTGCTCAGAGAAACCCCACAACACAGGTAGATGTGTGTCATGCCCATTTTACAGATGGAAACATCAAGTCTCATAAAAGTGACATGATTTATCCAGGATCACACATGTTACAATAAACAAACAAAAACCCAGTTCTCCCCTAAGTCCAAGTCCTTCCACTATATCATACCATCTCTTTCTAGATTATAAAATGTGAAAGCTGAGAGGGATCTTAGAACATAAAATGTAGATTGTTAGAGTTGGAAGAGCCCTTAGGTCACAGAATGTTAGGACTCACTCTATTAAAACAGAGACTATGAAAGCTGAAAAGGAACTTAAATATAATTATCATGCATATGTAAATGGCACTTTTAGGCTTAAAATCACATTCCTCACAACAACTCCATAAGGGAGGGAGGTGTAAATACAGTTATCCCTGTTTTATAGATAACAGCACTGAGACTCAAAAGTGAAGTAATTTTCTTGGGGTAGGAAGCTAGTAAGAATACCCTAGTCTCTCCTGATTCCAACTCACGTTCTTTCCACCAAACAACACTATCTTTCTATAGAGTATAGAATAGTAGAACTGGAAGGAAATTTAGAGATTGGAACCAGTTTCATCAATACATTTTACATGCAGATGAGGAAGCATATGTCCAGGGATGTCTGAGTGCTTGTGACATATCTAACATCTCCTAAGGGTTGGTTTTTAAGAAATAATAATCCAGTGGTGATCTTATGAAACATGGTTTAGTGACTTAGCACTTGTGTGCCAAGGAGGGCAATGAAGGTTGATTTTCATTAGTATATGGGGCAGCAGCTGGTGCCATAAACCCCACTCAACTACATATGAAGGAGTGGTGCCATTGACAGTGGGAAAAAATGACATGTCAGTCCTCTTCCCTCTACTGCCTCTTCACTCCCACGCTTAGCCCTGCTCTAAATTGGTAGGTGTTAAAGTCAACAGGGCCAACCTCCTCTGTAGTCCTACAGAAGGAAAAAGAGTGAAGACCTTAAGACAGCACTTTAAAGAGTTGTCTGATAGCCTTACAAATGAGCTAATTTGGGTTGGTTTTTGTAACATTGGGAAATTTGAATTTAAAGGTATAATAGCTATTTAAAAAAAGGACTGGTTAGGAGTTACAACAGGGAAGAACAATTAGAAAATTAACTTACTTTGCTTCTGTTTACAATTCTATTTCTAACACTAATTATTTAAGTAATGCCACTGGAGTTAACTGGGAAATGAAAGTGGCTGCATTTCTGAAGTAGGTTTGCATTTTGCCAGTTCTGTGTTTCAGCTCAAAGAACTGGGGGTTGGATATGAACAGACCGGCAACCAGAGCTGGCTTCTTAGGCACTTCAAAACCAAATAAAGGAATGAATCTGTACCTGTGTATTGATTGACTCATCCTGTTAACTGACAAACATATTGCCTCCTATGAGCAATGAGTCGTTAGGTTTGTAAAGAAGGGTGCAGGCTAGGAGCTTACATGTCGTCCCATTCCTCCTCTTCACTCCCATTGTATACCACTTGGGCTCCATCTTCTTAGTTGTTATCCCCATTCAGCAACTCCTCTCCCCCTCCCCAATATAGTTATGTACACTCTTTTATAAGGCTTACTGCTGTCTTGCTTCCCTTTTTCTCCTGGATCTGTTCCCTCCTGTCTCAAAGTTCAGCTCTTCAGAATCACACCCTTCTTGCCTAGTAAGGTTACAATCAGCTAATGTGACAGACCCATTATACTAATGTGCTAATGGGAGGAGGGGGTTAGCAGCTCCTCCAGTTCTGAGGCTACATGTGTGTATTATGACAAGGGCTGTCTGGATATAATAAATGATTGTTATTTGATCTTTATCTCATAGTGTATTAATTAGTACAAATAAAATAAAATAGTACCAAATAAAGCAGTACTGATAAAGTTGGTATGAGATCTCTTTGGTATTAGCTGAAAATAGAAATATACGTAAATGTAATACTTTAATACTTATTGGATCTGCAATTTCATCAACATGGGTATTTCCTTCATATCCTGTAAACTGCTTGAGAGAAGTAACTGTTTCCTTCCCTTTCCTCTTTTTTTTCTTTTCTTCTTTCCCTCTCCTTTCTTTTCCTTTTTTCCCCACTTCCTATCCCTAGCGAACAGTTCAGTGCCTGGTACAGAGGAGGAGCTTAATAAATGCATGTTATTAATCAGTTGGTTGATCAATACAATTTCCATCTCATGTATGCTTTCTTCTCCCATGTAATCCTTTTCTATGTTCTTCCATAGATCCTACACAGAAGACCTATTCAGTGTGTTGGATGTCTTCCTCTGGATTTTTTTTCATATGTCGTGGGCACCGGTGAAACATTCAGACTTTTCCCTCTTTGTCGCCTCATTCTTATTTCATGACTTGCCCACCTCCTCTTCTGATCCGATGCTGTCTTGATGACATCCCTTGCAGGTCGTCCTTGAGAACATATTGTGATCTACTTGCAACCCCACCTCCCATGCCTCATCGCATCACCCTTTGGGTCATCAACAATTTTGATTGCCTAGTGGTGGCGGTATTCTAAGACATTTTGACTGTGCAGCATCTCCACAAGTATATCTGAGTTAAAAAGACAGGTCACCTTGCTGGGGAGCAGCTTGGGAATAATAGAAGCCCTACCCAATTTCCTAAATGCAATCTGGCTTGTTGATGCCTTTCCTCTGTTGATCATTTCCAACCTATGCTATATATAGCTTGTTTGGATAAAGTTTACATGTTGTTGTCTCCATTAGACGATGAATTCTGTGAAATCAGGAACTACTTTTTGCCTTTCTTTGTATCTCTAGCACTTAGGACAGTGTCTGGCACATAGCAGGTGCTTAAGAAAAGTTTACTGACTGGTCTCAACTCACCGTCCATCAGCTGTGTCTTTCTTAAATATATGTACCAGTGGACTAATTCAGTGGCTTGGCTATCTGACTTGTGTGTCAAAGCCTGGACAAGAAGCATTTTTTTTCTCCATTTAATTATTCCTATCTGGATCATTAGGGTGATTGCTTTTAAGTGATGACAGTTTCTCTTGGGGGGGAGGGAATACAATGTTCATGATTCAATAAATACAATATCATATGCAAAAAATGGTAACTGGAGGAACTCAATCTCATTTTATTTGGCCCTCGTACATCAAGATATTAGGCATGACAGCAGCAAACACTACTGATGAGGGATGTCTTCCTGTTTTATGCCTCACTTGACATTAATCATCAGATGGCTGCTGAACAGAAAAGTCTCTGTAGTTGCATTTGTCAAGGAATCCTGTGTGATCTTAACATTAGCATGAAAGACAGCTTGTTAGAGATGAAATTCTAAAGTGAATTTTTCTCTACCAAGTCAATGGCTTTTTAAAATCGACCAACAATGTCCTGAACAGGATCTTGTGTTCTTTGTGCTTTTCAGTCAGATGTAAAGCTACGGTATTTTGTAGATAAATGTTTGTGAATGTCTGCCTAGCCCATTTTTGTATTTTCATCAAGAAAAGGTTTTTTGCAGTTGCCAATTTTACTTTCCTGATCATGTCCCCACCCCTACTCGTTAAACTCCATGCTTCCCTTTTCTTGCCAATGGAATAGAAACTCCTTTGTTTGTCATTTAGTATGCTTCCTAACCTAGCCCCTTCCTATTTATCCAGCCTTAATATGCTCTACTTCCTTCCTATGCTCTAGGATCCAGCCGTATTGGCTTACTTGCTATGTCTCACACCTGACACCTCATTTTCCATCTCTGCTTTTATACTAGCTGCCTTTCATTCCTAGAATGGTTTCCTTCTTCCCCTTTGTCTCTCAGACTCCTTAGCTTTCTCTAAGACTCAACTCAATTGCCATCTTCTATAGGAAGTTTTCTTGGTCTCCTCAACCCCTTCCTCAACTTTCCCTTTTAACCTTATTTCTGTCTTTTCGATTTGTATCGATTCAAGTACACGTTGTCTCCTCCATTGGAGTATAAGCTCCTTGAGGGCAAAGACTCTTTTGGCTCTTTCTTTATATCCCCAGAACTTAGTACAGTGCTTATTGATTAACTGAAGGATATTTCTGATATGCAAAAGGCATAATGAGGTAGCTATCTGGCCCAGTGGATAGAACACACTGGGTATGTAGTCAGGAGGACACTTCTTTTTCAGATTCTTGCTAAGTATGAAACCCTGGGCAAGCCACTTAACCTCTATCTTCCTCAATTTTCCTCATCTATAAAATAGGAATAGTAATAGCACCTACCTCTCAGGGTTGTTATGGAGAGCTAATGAGATAACATATGCAAAGTACGTGGCAAACCTTAAAGTACTATATACATGCTAGCTATTTTATTAGCTATTATCATAAAAATTTGTTCTTATAAAGATGAGAAAGTAGGCATGTGATTTAGTACCTAAATGTTCTTATTCTCTTTTTTGAGTAGGAATGTTGCCTGTAATTATACATTATGTTACTATAGCTATATTATACATGGCAATCTATATATGTTTAATATAGTTATACTTATTCTCATAATATGGCTTTTTAAAAATTTTGTATACTGAATAGCAATTTACAACATCCTTGATCAATCAAATGAGATAATTGTAAAGTGCCTGGAACGTAGTAAGTGCTATATAAATGTTAGCTGCTGCTGCTGCTGCTGCTGCTAGACAGCTTCCATTTCAAGACTCCAGTGATAGAGAACTTCTGAGGAAAACTTTGCCATTTTGTGACCATTCTAATTGGTCAATTTTTCCTTATATAAAGCTAAAATCTGCCTGGATGTAATTTCTACCTGTTATTCCTTATCCCTTGGGTGAGATGCGCAAATTAAGAGACATCTTCACTTCAAATGTCCATGCCGACTATTTGTGCCTGACCTCTGGTATAGTGCTCCCAGCTTGTATTGGTCTGACCAGCCAGAGTAGGCCACATGATACCTTGGCCTTGTTGTCATTTTGGTCCATGAGCATGAAGGACAACAACCGACTACCCTTGGGGATCAAACAGAGCAAATCTCAGCCATTTTCCCCAGACCAAATACTTGAGCATAGCTTCCCGGTCTTCTCTTATTGAAACTAATCACTTCCACGTCCTACAATTGAAATCACAGCTTTATGAAAGTACTTGGACTGTTAGTAACACCACAGAGCTATTAGCGGACTTAGGTCTCTTGATCCCAATGCCAATGGTTCATCAAATTTATGGATGACTCATGTTAGATGAGGTGGTTCCCAAACAGTAGACTAGCTTGTCAGTTAATCTCAGATTTGATCTGGAAGATTTCCAAACTGCTTACCATGATGACATACCTCTTGGGCCCACCCTACTCCCCTAAACTTTCAGGAATTCCAGGCACGGTGTCACTTTCTCTAACATCTCGTAGAATTTAATAATATTAATGATAAGGACATTTATGTAACTTTAAGGTTTGGAAAGAGCTTTACAAACATTATCTCATTTAATCCCCTCGGTAACCCTAGGAGATACATAATAATACCCACTTCTATACAAATATGTATCATGTAAAATGATTCACATTTTATAGTTTAGGAAACTGAGGCAGATGGAAACTAAGTGACTTGCCCAGGGTCACGTAGCTGTTAAGTGTCTGAGGCTGGGTTTGAACTCAGATCTTCCTGACTCCAAGTCTAACACTCTATCCACTATACCACTTAGTTGCCTTTTCCCCCAATAAATAGTTCAGATACCCTTGGGTTGGAATGAGAATAATAATAAATCACATTTAGCTAGCACTTTAGTGTTCACAAAGTACCTTTTTCATTTTTTACAATGAAAGGTCTGTGAGGTCACTAGGATAATTAGGGACAAACTTAGAATTAGCCAAGTGACCTCAGTCTGGCCCCCTACCCAAGCTAGACCTCATTGTCTTCTGTAAAACAGGGTAGTTGAAAGAAATGATATCTAGGGTCATTGTCAGGCCTGCCTATCTATGGGTCTATGAATTTTCTTCCCATTTTTCATGTTTAATTTTTTCGTATCTTGCAGATACTTGCTTTTTGCTGGCACTCCACAATCAAATAACTGAATAATTCAAGACTCTTCTCAGAAATGTTCTTGGCCAAAAAGATGCATAATCTTATGCAAAACAAGTTTTATGGAATCACACAGAATTTCAAAGTTGGATAGGCCCTCAGTAACCATCTGGTGCAAGCCATACCTGAAAGATCATCCTCACTTATAGTATTATACGTCTGAGGAGTGGTCATCTAGCATTTACTTGGAGGCCTCCAGGAAGGGAGAATCCAGTTACTTCCTAAGGCAGATCATTCTACTTTTGGATACTTCTTATTGTGAAGGAAGATTTTCCTTATACTCAACTTAAATTTGCCTCATTATAATTTATTGCCAGTGCTACTAGTCTTGTCTTCTGAGGCCAATGTAAAAAATTTGAATCCCACTTCCACATGACAGCCTTCTGAGTCCTTAAAGACAGCTATCACATCTGCTCTGGGCCTTCCCTTCTCCAAGATAATCATCCTTCAACTGATTCTCATAAGGAATGGGCCCAGGGGCCTTCATCATTCTTTCCTTTCACAGGGCAGGCAAGCAATTATAGCTAAAACAATCTAAAGGAGAGACAGGAGAGAGCATGTGCCAGGCAGATTGACCCCTTACCAGATCTGGGTGGAGACAGGCCAGGACCCTGATCCTAAGAGCCCCAGGAACTTAGCAATGCCACCCAGATCACAAGCCTTGCCTTCAGTCTCAAAAGGATCTGTCATCTTCAACACCAGCTGCCAGTAAGGAACAAGGAAGCACAAGGATCCCAGGAACAGTAGCAACCCCCCAGACCACCAGCTGTGCTAGCTCAGCTCCTGCAGCCATAATCCAGGACTGCAACCCCTGTGGAGATGTAACCTGTCACTTGTTTCAGGAAGAGCTGAAGCCCCTGCCTCCTTAGCACCTAGAGCTACTCAAGACCCAGAAAAACCCAAAATCCTCACCACCAAAGTTTAGGGCATTGTCAAATGGTTAAACATTAGAAACAGCTGTGGTTGGATTAATGGAAATTACATTAAAGAAGATGCATTACGTCTTTGTTGCTGCTGTACCCTAAGGATCTTGGGGCCTTTCTATCTGACTTTCAGCTGAAACCTGGTATGTATGTTGTCTCTCCCATCAGAATGGGAGATCCTGGAAAGCAAGGACTGTCTGACTTTTTTGTATCCCAAACACTTAGCATAGTGCTTTGTATAGTAAGTAAGTGATCAGTAAATGCTTTTTCATTCATGCCCTTTTTCAGATGCTCTCCAGCTTATAGATTTCTTTCCTAACCTACAATGCCCAGAACTGAGCAAACTCCAGATGTAGTCTGACCACTTTCCATGTCTCATCTTTTCAATGAAATTCTAATAATGCTGCAATAGGTAGAGAGTTTTTGTAGGGCAGCTAGGTGGCACAATGGATAGAGTACCAGGCCTGGAGTCAGGAAGACTCATCTTCCTGAGTTCAAATTCAGCCTCAGACATTTACTTGCTGTGTGACCCCAGACAAGTCACTTAACCCTATTTGCCTCAGTTTCCTCATCTGTAAAACAGCTGGAGATGGAAAGAGCAAACTACTCCAGCGCCTTTGCCAAGAAAACCTCAAAAGGGGTCACCAAGAGTCAGACACAACTGAAAATGACTGAACAACAACTAAGTACCCACTATGTCAGCTCATAAGGGCCTCAAACTTGTTGATATAGGCAGGGTAAGATTATTATGCCCATATTATGCTCAGTGAGGACAAGTGACTTGCCCAGGGACATAGAGCTGAGGAGTCAGCTTGGCATAGCAGGTAAAGTGCTGAACTAAGAAATCAGGAAGACCTGGGTTCAAATTCTGCCACTGGTTTTGACTATCTATCTGTGAGACCATGGGCAACTCTCAGAACCTCTTTCAATCTCAGTCTCTGCATCTGTAAAATGGGGAGGGTTGTAAGGGTAATATTTACCTCAAAGGGTTATTGTGAGGCTCAAATAAAACACATAACATGTTTAGCAAACTTTAAAGACTTATGTAAATCTCAGTTATTATTATTACATAGCACACCCTAGACTAGCACCCAGCTCTATTTACTCTTCGTTCAGTGCTCTTTTTCTTCATTGTTGTTCGATTTGTTTCAGTCATGTCTAACTCTTTGGGGTATTCTTGGCAAAGATACTGGAGTGTTTTGCCATTTCCTTCTTCAACTCATTTTTACAGATGAGGAAACTGAGGCAAACAGGGTTAAGTGACTTGCCCAGGGTCACACAGCTAGGAAGTGTCTGAGGCCAGATTTGAACTCAGGAAGATGAGTCTTCCTGACTCCAGGACTGACACTCTATCCACTGCTCCATCTAGCTGCTCTCTGTCCTATGCCTCACTTAAACTTTCTTCCTTTCTCTGAAATGAGCAGAAATGCTATGCTTTAACCAGTAAGATCTTCTGCCCATGTTGCAATCTCCATCCCACAGTTGATTGGTTCATTTTAACTTTGCCTGCTGTTGATCCACACTCACATCTCTCCAATAACTCTCACATTCTATGAAGAAGGAAGTTCTTGCTTTATATTATAGAGATTTTTTAAAAATGAAAGGAAAACAAAATAACACAAGCTATTAAATAATAATGTATATCAATAGGCTAGAACAGCTTGACTTGGCCAATGATATAATTTCCCAAATGTTCCCAAAAGTAATAGAATGACTGAATAGGTGATTGATGGACAAGAGGAAGACTAATGTAGGAAATTGGGATGGTTAATTATATTCTCACCAGCCCCGGGTGAACATTAGTAGTGTGAATTATTTATTTCCACGAGATTTTTAGCTCTGTCTGCACATACAAAGTGAAGGGGAACACTGAGGCAGTTACCCAAATAATGGTGAGTGGATCAAGAGTGGGAACCACGCTCTGTTAGTTATTATGCCTTCCTTCCACGTCTACCATATCTAGAGTAGCACAGTCTGTGGGGGTTGGGGTATAAGTGGTAATCAGGCTGGAAAGGTGGGAAGGGCAGGATATCAAGGCCTCTGACTACTCAACATATCTACATAGTCTTTATCACAGACTTCACCAAATACAACAACATGATGTAACTAAAGGAAGACCATATTGATGTATGATCTATACTTAGCTTATTACATGGATTTACATAATAATACTAGCTGCCACTTGTAGAGTGCTTTACATACTCAATCCCATTTGTCCCCTCACAACAACCCTGTGAAGGAGGTACTGTGATCTTAACACTCTCACTTTATAAATAAGGGAAGTTTAGTGAGTTTAAGTGACTCACCAATAGTTACACAAATAGCTGGTGTTCAGGTCTTGTCCTTGTAACTCCAGGTGTCACCCCACACTCCCACACTGCCCTTTCTAGATTGTCAGACTCTGTAATCCCCACAGTGCCAAGCTCATGGCCTGCAATATTGAGTAACTATTCAAAAACTGTTTGAGAATTAATTGATTAAAATAGGGCCCTTTCCCTCACAAGTGCATCAGATAATGCTACAAAATTATTCCACTTAGCCCAAACCTATACAAACACACACATATGTAGGGGATATGTCTGTGTATGTAGGTATCAATTTTGGGGACGGCTCTTTTGGTTTTTGGTAAACACCTATTTTCAGTGTCTGTCACAACATTCTATGTATTAAATCAGGAGGCCAAAATGTATTTCTCCATTCAAATATTCTGCAATAAACTTTACATCAGGTGCGCCTTTGTTCTGTGTACTCAGATCAGCTCAACATAATGGAAATATTAAAATACTAAGTAAATAGCTTTGTTTGGACCCCTTCTTGAATCCAGAACCTTAGTTTTAAAAGATGGAACAAAAGTATTTAACATGTTATTGACAGTATCCTCGTTTCAATCTCATTAACATTACTGTTAAGATTGAGAAAACACCTTGGTGATTGTGTCCACAGCTATTTCCCCCATATTTGTTAGCAGATTCTTTAGAAAATCACTTCATTGGAAGAAAAAAAATATTTAATTGTGCTTTGAAATGTGATAGATTAACGTTACATGCTATTGTCCTGATGCCCTTGTTTGACTACCATAATGTACTTGTTCTATAAAATGAAAGTGTGGATTAGATTCAAATAAATGGGAAAAGAGACCACTTGGATTCTCTGTTCTTTTTTACCTACCCCTTTGGCATCGATCACACCAGGCTTTGCATTAAACTTCACTGTCTTCAATCGAGCACGTTCCTTTCTTTCCACTCTGGAGAATGAAAAAGAGAAAGAAAGAGAGAGAGAGAGAGAGAGAGAGAGAGAGAGAGAGAGAGAGAGAGAGAGAGAGAGAGAGAGAGAGAGAGAGAGAGAGAGAGAGAGAGAGAGAATGAACAGATTAGGTTACTAAACAGGAATTAAAAGAAAAAGTAAACAATTCTATTCTCTTACGTGCTCTCTTCTCTCCTCACATCTCTACTCAACTCCTATGACTCAAATCTACTCAGATTTCATCATATTTGAGGGAAAGGAAGGTTTGGTATTAGATTTCTAAGTGGAAGCCAGCAACAAATCCTCAAAACTCATTATATTGTTTGTATGGAAAATTACAGTATTTAGAAAGAAGGGAGAGACTGATGAGATAGAGGGCTGACCTCGGAGTCAGGAAAACCTGGATTAAATCCTTCATTTGACACATACTTTTGGTATCACCATGGGTAGGAGGGGTTTCCACACCAGGACTTCTTGATGTAGATGAAGTCACAGGTCTGGACAGTATAGACATGTATGTGTGCAGTCATGGCACAATGTGACTTAGTGACTAGAAAGTCACCTTTGAGTCAGGAAGACATAGGTTCAAATTCTGCTTCTGACACTTAGTGGCTAGGTGAGTCTGGGCAACTCTTTCTACCTTTCACTGCCCCAAACTTCTCCTATTTCAGGACAATTGTCAATCTGAATTTGTAAAGGAGGTTTCCTTCCCAGGAGTTCCTCTTATCTAAGAAATCACAGAAGTTCTAGTCTGACTCCATCCATCCATCATCCATCCATCCATCCATCCATCCATCCATCCATCCATCCATCCATCCATCCATCCATCTATTTATCCATCTATCTATCTATCTATCTATCTATCTATCTATCTATCTATCTATCTATCTATCTATCTATCTATCTATCTATCTATCTATCTATCTGTCTATCTATCGCCTCCCTGTCTTTTCAATACATATTTATATGTCTAAGAGTAACCAGGTAGCACAGTGGATAGAGCACTGGGGTTGGAATGAGGAAGACATTTCCTGAATTTAAATCTGGCCTCAGACACTTATTAGCTGTGTGATCCTAGGCAAGTCACAACCTTGTTTGCCTCACTGTCCTCATCTTTAAAATGAGCTGGACAAGAAAATGGCAAACTATTCTGTATCTTTGCCAAGAAAATCCCAAATGGGGTCATGAAGAGTTGGACAGGATTGAAATGACTCAACATCAACATATGCATGTATGTGATATATATGTATACATGTGTATGTAATGAGGAAACTGAGATCTCATAGAAAGTAGTTGGTTTACCCTAAATTGCAAACGGTACACAGCAGAACCAGGAATCAAACTCAGGTCTTCGGACTCCAAACCCTATGTTCTTCCCAAGGCAATTACTATTCTGATGAGACTATTACCTATTAGCTTATTTTGTGTCTGCCTGAAGGTGTACAACCCTGTTAAGAACGTGGAAGGTAGCAAAGAGGGGTGGCAAATGTAAATGGTAATGTAAATATGTACATGTATAGTTAAATGATTACATGTTACACACATATATCCATATACCAAGGCAGGGTGGCGAACCTGAGGCCTTGAGGCCATACGTGGCCCTCTAAATCCTCAAGTGCGGCCCTTTGACTGAATCCAAACTTCACAAAACAAATCCCCTTAATAAAAGGATTTGTTCTATAAAACTTGGACTCAGTCAAAAGGCTGCACCCAAGAACCTAGAAGGCTACATGTAGCCATGAGGCCACAGGTTCCCTCCCCCTGTACCAGGGGTTTTTAGCCAAGGGTTCATGAACTTGTTCTTTTAATATTTTGATAACTGATCACTGATTTCTTCTGTAATCTTGTGCATTCTATTTAATGCATTTAAAAAGCATTTCTCTGAGAAGGAATCTATAGGCTTCACCAGACTACCAAAGACATACAAAAAGGTTAAGAACCCTTGACATATATGTGTAAATATATACTGACATCTTATATATGTGGGTATATAAATGTATATGTATATAAATGTATATGTATATAATACTAACATCTTGCCCAGCTAGAATTTTCCCCCAACCAAACATGGAATAACTGAATAGATTTCTGAAGCCTAAACTATTCATAAATCAATTCTGAACCACATACTCCTTTCCAAATGAGAAGTCTTTTACATTTTCTGTTGAAACACCGAAGGGACAGGTTTCTATAGTTACACAGCTGAGCTGCAGAATATATTTATTTCACTTTAGTGCACAATCTCTGCATGGATACAGTGGGATCAAACCTTTCAAAAGTAATCGTTGATATTAAAGCTTAAGAACTGCCATAATTTTGCACTTGCAGACCAAGTGCTATGATAGGAAAGGGAGAAAATGAAGGCTTAAGTCACCATAATCTGCCAAACGGAAAGAGGAACATGGGGGAAATTATTGGCTTCAAGCTTTCCTGCTTCTCTCAGCTTTAACCCAGGTGTGAATATCGATCAAATCTGCCTCTCTCCCATCCTCCCAAAATGCCAATTATTGCATTAACATTATTCTGGACTCTTTTCATAAACCAGTCTTCTTAATGAGGAGTGATGGATACTGCTTCATCATGTCCTAATAAAATTACTCTCTCATTTATGGATGCTGCTGATGCTTGTAATCACACAGCACCGTGGTATTCAATCCAACATATATCCACTGAGCACCTCTTAGAAGACAAGTTGTGAATATCCTGGACTTAGAGTAAGAAGCCTCAATTTTCTCATCTGCAAAATGGAATTTAAAATACTTGCAGCATCTAACTTACAGGGATTTTGAGGTGGCGAGAGAGTACTTTGTAAACTTCCAAGTAATAAATCAATGCGAGCTTTTAATAAGGGCATGGGAAGAAGGAAGGAAACAAGCATTTATTAAACACCTACTATGTGCAAGATGCCATGCTAGATGCTTTTCAAATATTATCTCATTTGATCCTCACAACAAACCTGAGAGGGAGGTGTTATTATGGCCCTCATTTTACATTTGAAGCAACTGAGGCAGACAGAGGTTGTTACTTGTGCAGGGTCACAGTTGGTAAATATCTGAAGTTAGATTTGAAATGAGGTCTTCCTGACTTCAGACCCAGAACTCTATCCATTGTATTACCTAGATGCCTCTAGATAATATGCATGGTAATATGCTAAGTCTTGGGGATTTTTTGTGTGCTTCATTTTGTTTTGGCTAGTACCTGTGATTTCATCAGTGTGGTAAGTTCCTTATCGTGAATCATGGGTTCAAACCCTAGCTCTGACTTTTACTCTCTGTCTGTCTTTGGACAAACAGCCTCACCTCTCTGGGCCTTTTTCCTTATGTGTAAAATAACGGGCTTGGGATATATAGTCTTGAAGGAACCTTCTAGCACAATGCTTGCCCCATATGTTCTTAAAAATGCTTGTTGATCAACTGATCGATTCTAGCTCTAAGAGGTTACAATGGTTGAATTTAATCATGCAATTCACACAAGGTGTATACCGGTTATCTTGAAAATGAATTAAGGTAGAAACTCATAAAATGTACTAGAATGGTATAAGCAGTGTTATGGAAATTCCTTCTACACACACCGATAGGATTGACCAATGCTTTGTACATATGTAACTTACAACCATTTCACTTTCATCTAACTTTTCACTTAACATTTTCTTTCACAAATTCTAGATATATCCCATTCTTATTTTCAAGATTTATATGCTGAATTTTACATTTTCTTAATAAATGTTTGCCATTAAAGACATTCCAATAGTTGATTTGCCACCCCTCTCTGCTCCCCCCCCCCACGTTTTTAACAGGGTTGTACACCTTTAGGCAGATACAAAATAAGCTAATAGGTAATAGTCTCATCAGAATAGTAAATGCCTTGGGAAAAACACAGGGTTTGGAGTCTGGAGACCTATGTTTGATTCCTGGTTCTGCTGTGTACTGTGTTGGCAATTTAGGGCAAACCAACTACTTTCTATGAGATCTCAGTTTCTTCATTTGTTAAAATGAAATGGTTGGACTAGAGGAGTTAGGTCCCCTCTGACTTTAAATCGCACCATCCTGTATGTTTGGCTATCTATCTTATATATTTAGTTAAAATCTATTTGATTTCAAAATGTTGTCACAAAGGTTAGGAATAAATGAGTTGAAGATCTTGTTAATATCTCAAGTTTTGGCACTGCACTCAAGGTTAACAATGACATCAATGATCTTGAGGGAGCCCATGTAAAGCAATAAAAATTCATGACAAATGTCAAGCTAAGGGTTTTTTTTAAATTTTAAAAATCTGTAAGATTTTGGCAATTCTTGGTTGAGCTTTAAATAAACCAAGACCAATTTGTGGTTTAAAATGGATATGAAATGAACAGATCTTAGAGATAGGGGTGGGGAGGGCAAATTGCTATATTTTTTCAGATAATTTTCAACTCAAAAAGACTAATAATATAGATTAGCCAAGAGCATGATCATCTACAATGTGGTTCTGATAAAGGTAAAGCAATTAGCAGTTGGCTTAAAGCCAAAAGTATGATAAATTCATTTCAGCATTAAAATGCAAATTGGTTTTATATAACCCCTGCAAATCAGCAGTTTCTACTGCTCCATTTTATTAAAGTTTATTAAAGGGCTTTCTTTCAAAATTGCCCAAGGTCATTAGGCCAAAGGATCTGTTGTTTTTCCTCTTGAGTCCTACTTTATCACCTATGTTTTCTGTGATGAAAGTAAGCATAAGGAGAACAATTACCTGTGAAGGAAAAAGAGATCAGAAAGAAGAATTCCTTCCTTTGACTTTGAATTTAAAGGTGGCAGAGTGCAAAGAGTACTGAACTTGGATTTAGGAAGACATGAATTTGAATCCACTTACTATCTTCATAACTCTAAGTTACTGAACCCTACTGTGCCTCAGTTATCTCATCTGTAAAATGGGGATAACATCTGCTACCTCTCAGAGTTGCTGTGAGTATCAAATCACATAATGAATGCAAAGTACTGTGCAAACTTTAAAGCACTCTGTGAG